TAAAGCATATGTACTTCTACTTCCATTTCCCCAAAGACTTCGAAAGAAGTCAATGGAGGAAAATATTGATGCTATAACTACAAGGAGTGTGGTATAATTACCAGAGATTACTGTGAAATGACAAAAAAGAAAAGAGAACCAAGAAGATGTTGATGAAGCTATAATAGAGAAAANTGGCAATAAGAGTAGTGGAAAACGATCCACCTAGGACTCCTGTAAAAGTTAAAGCATATGTACTTCTACTTCCATTTCCCCAAAGACTTCGAAAGAAGTCAATGGAGGAAAATATTCATGCTATAACTACAAAGAGTGGGCTACAATTACCAGAGATTACTATGAAATGACCAGAAAGAAAAGATGATCAGGAAGATGTTAACGAAGCTATAATGGAGGAAAAATTTGAACCCGCCTCAACTGAGAATGAAGAAAGTACAGAAGCACCCACTGCCAAGACACAAAGTCCAGTCGAGGCTTATGTGTCTCCCATTCATTTTCCTCAAAGACTTAAGAAGAACAACCAAAACACAAATTTTGAAAATTTTCTTGATGTTCTCAAGAAGCTCCAGATCAATATTCCGTTGATTGATGCGATATTACAAATTCCAAGGTACAAAACTTTGAAAGAGATGTTGACAAAGAAAAGAAAGCTTTCGGAGTTTGAAATTGTGGTATTAACGAAGAAAAGTAATGCAAGAGTGCAAAACAAATTGCCTCTTAACTTAAAAGATCCATGGTTCACCTATTTCAATTGGAAATTCTTGTGTTATTAATGCATTGTGTGACACAAGTGCTAGTATAAATCCTATGTCATATTCTGTTTATAGGAAATTGGGATTGAGTGAAGTCAAATCAACATCAATAACGCTACAACTAGCTAATACAACACTTTCAAAGTCACGTGACAAAGTCGAGGAAGTATTCATAAAAGTAGGAAATTTAATATTTTCGGTGGACTTCATTGTGCTGGACATACCAAACGATCGAGACATTCCAATTATATTGAGGCGGTCATTGTTAGCAATGGGTCGAACTCTAATTGACATGGAGAATAGTGAGTTAATATTGAGGGTGGAGGAAAAGTAAGAGATATTTAATCTTTATACCCCATTTGAGAAACCTTCTAAAAAAATCATTACTCTAGAATTGATGAAGAAGAGCCACCCGATCAACGAAACTGTCAGAATAGAAAATCAAACTTTGTTCAACTTTTTGGTAGAGATGAAAATGGAAATATCAAAATATGGAGAACAAAAAAAGGAAGCATAAATGAAAATTGCACAAAGTGCAATGATGGGATAACTTGGTTCGAGCCACCAGGATCAAATATGGCACACAGTCAAGCTAATGACATTAAAGAAGCGCTTCTTGGAAGACAACTCAAACTTTCTTCCTTTTTATTTATTCTATTTTTGAATTTTAGAATAGTTTAGATTATTTTAAGTTTATTTGTGACTCATCATCCATACCCTATTTTTCCTTAAATTTTCGATATGTTAGTTGATTTATCAGATGTTAAAATTAAGTAACACTTGTTCCAATTATTTGATCTTAATGTTTTATTTGATTTTTTTGGAACATGAAGTGCGAAACATTTAAACCAATATTGGTCAAGGAGCTAACGAGAACAATAGGAAAGTCAGCTATTGAATTACAAGTCATATCAGGGAGTCTTTTCTTCACGTTCTTCGCCACCCCCTTTATATACGGATTTAGGATTAAGGACATTTAGGACAATATCCAGTTTAAGATTGGGGGTGGAAAACACGAGTTTTCATTTTTTTATGTGTTTTTGTGTGCTTTTATTACTTTATTAAAAAAATAGAAAATAATATATATTTTTTTAAGAAGTAAAAAATAAAATATAATGAAAATATTTTCTTTTTGTGTGCTTGAATGAGTTAGTTGGACTGACTGACAATGACGAATATATTGTATTATTAATTGATCTATGAATGGTGAATAAGTTATATGCTTAGATTGCATTTTACCTTTTCATGTGAAATTTTGATATATATTGAGTACATGAATTAAGTTAAACATTGTGTAGAAATGATTTGATTTCATAATTGGATAGGTTGAAATAGTGGACTATAGATGTTAAATCAAAAATCACTAAATTTTACGTTCTTGGAAGAAATTTAGAATAGTTTAGGGGAATTTCACTGTTGTATGAAGATGTTGAGATACATATGGATTCCATGTATGAAATTGAATTTTTTTGTGTGAATTGTCTAAGGTCAAATAAGATGGAATTAGGTGAAAATCTCAAGTTAGAGGTCGTTTCGCTTGAACTGATATTAAATGAGGGACATTGCACTTATCAAGACATGAAAAATATTTTATTTGAAAGTTTCTCTTCGTAGTTTTTATGATTCGAGAAATTAAACATGCATGAGTTTTTAAAACCCTATGTCCAAAAGCTTATTACATGGGTCATTTAGAAAGTTTAAAGAAGATATTTCAAATAAAGAGAAAAATTATTCTAAAAAAAAAAAAATTCAAAAAAATCAGGTGCATGAAACAGAAGACGCACCAAATGAATTGGTTATGTCCCAAACACCTATTTAAGAAAATTTGATTTTTGATAAGAGATTGTTAGACTAGTTAAGTCCTAGTGATTGAAGCAATCAAATTTAATGGAGAATCCTTGTTTATTATCATGTTGAACTGCAATTGGCGGGATTTAACTAAACTAGAGAGGTGATGATAGTAGATAAATCCAACCTTAATTCATACAATGGAAAATAGTGAAAATAATAAATTTGGGGGTGTGTGAAATTTACAAGTAATGAAAGAACATATTTGACCATTAAGGGTCGGGAATAGAAACAACCTATGAATTCATAATGCTATACTTAATTTTTCACACACACACACACACACACATCAATTTTACATTGGAAAAGTGGATTCTAATTCATGTATTGTGATTTTGAAGTTGTGCATAAATTTGATATTATGACTTCAATCCCGAAATAAAAAGTATGGTTAGCTAGCTAAATCTTGTTACTTTATTTGATTGACTGGCCACCAATTAGGTAATTATCATTGTTTGTTTGTGTGTTTATTAGATTTTAATTTTGTTTGAGAACAAACAAAGATTAACTGCCTGTTCTCCTTACCATTTTCAAACCGTTTTCTGTTTTCGATTTTTCAAAATAGCGAAAACGCGTTCTCTTTCCTATGTTCAAAAACGCGTTTTTGAAAATGAAAAAAAATTTACACACAAAACTGAAAACGTCCAAAAGCTCGTTTTCATCATTTTGAAGCCAAAACACGCTAGTTTCACAGAACACGGGAAATGAATTCTCAGACTTATCCTTTCTCTCCCGTAACATAGGGCTTCCTCTGGTTTTCCTCTTCCAATCTCACAATCCATGAAAATTTCTTCCTGCTCATGTTGCGTAATCTGCGGGTTTTCTACTGGTTCTTTCAATTAGGTTTCCCTGCTCTTACTATTCCTCTTATTAATCAATCTCTGTTTTATTTTTACATATTTATTTTTGAAAGTAGGAAAACCCAGTAGAGATTTCTTGAATCTAGGGTGTAGTCGAGTGAAGCTTCTGCACCGATTTTCTGGTCAATGGAATTGTTGTGAAAAAAAAAAAAGAGGATAAATGAAGAGTAGTAGCTCTTGGCAGTAGAAAGAGCTCGCATTTTCTACATAATCGTCATTCGTCGTTCTCTCCAACTCCCTTGCAGTACATCTTTATACTCTGTTACATGTATCTGTTCGTATTTATGAGGTTTTGATTGATTTCTCTACTTTGATTAACTGTAATCACATATCATTACACCAATCTCTATGGTTTGCGCTCTGGATGGATTCCTCGTCGACTTAAAGTATGTAAATTTTGTAGTTATTAATTACTAATCAGGCTAATTGCTGTAGCTTATCATTTTTGCTTCAACTAGTCTATTTGTTTAAATGAGCTTTCTTACACTATTTGTTTTGGAATAAATTTAATGAAGGTTTCATTCTAGAAAAAAAGCTTATATGGCATCAAATGCATCCTTCTTCAACTAGTAGCCGAAATTGCTTTCGAGGAATTAAAGCATACCAATTTCAATTGGACATTATTTCAAGTTATTAATAATTAGTATAGTATACCAAATTTTGGTAAGTTTCTCTAGGATGTGGTCAAGGAATAAAGGGTCATCGTTGAAAGTAATTTTTGAATTGTGAAGATTGAATGCTGATAATCAAATCTTGTTAAATGGAAGAGATTCAACTAATGTTGCTTGTTAGAGGATATATGGGTGGAACAGAATGTTAGAGTCAATAGAATTGTTGTGAAAAAAAGAGAGGATAAATGCTTGGTGATTTTTACTGAAGTTGGAATGAAAGAAAAGAAATGAGGAGCTTAAATAACGCAATCGAAATGCAATTCAACATGTTTTATGTGGTAAAATGAAGACGAATAGAACTTCAAGATAAAATATTCAACCCCCGGTGAAACTTCAGATACTGCTTTATTCAATGCTATATGGGTTGATAGATGGTCACTAGAGTTTGGAGAAGCTGGTAGCATATGTTGAGCAGGTGACTTGGATGGGAGATTGTGGAAAGCTTCTGACACTGTAATGAATTATGTTGCTGTATGATTGTGGAAAGTTCATGGATGTGACGGCCTGTGTAGAAAACAACTATCAGCATACATTTGTTCACATATAAAGCATAATGAAACAAAATGAAGTAGTAGGGTGTCAATTTTGAGATGATTTTTCAGTGAAGATTCATCTTTGCTATCATTATCCCTTTTGAATTGGTTGGGCCTCCATTAGGTTGCATTCATTGCTCTGATTAATGGTTGAAAAATAATATGCATCAAAGATGGTTGAGATATTTCATCTACACTATATGATCAAAATAATCACATTTCTGGTTGGTTTTGTTCTTTAGATTATAGTTTCAAACCTCCTAATTGTGATTCATGTATATGGAACTAATTTGTTAAATATTGACTATATGGTTTCGTATCCTGATCATTTTTCCAGAGATGGCTGCTGTGCAAGCTAATTTGACATCAGTTTTTGGAAATAATGGGAATAATTCTGCTCCCTTGAAGTTTCATGACAGTTCATTTTTCCCTGGGATTGATGTGACTGTGCATATTGCCGGCGTACGGAGAATGGGCATATGGTCCACTTCTTTTTTAGGCCCCAAAGCTACATTAACCTCTGGAAGTGTATCTTGATCATTGACAAATGATATTTTATTTTGTCTGGCATTAGTTTTCGGATACTCCTCCACTGCATTTTAAATTTATTGTAAACTATTGCATTCTTTAGCTTTCTTATATTTATTAGGACCGTTGTTAAACAGGACTCCCCAAGTTGCGGAAGGAGTTGATTGACAGGAGGGAGAAGTTGGGTGGTCCGAGGTATACGCAGATGTTCTATGCTAAGCAGGGAACTATAACTGAAGAAATGGCATATTGTGCCACTCGGGAGAAACTTGAACCAGAATTTATGAGATCAGAAGTTGCTCGTGGTCGTGCAATTATTCCGTCTAACAAGAAGCATACATAGTTGGAGCCAATGATAGTTGGACGCAACTTCTTGGTGAAAGTGAATTCTAATATTGGGAATTCTGTCGTCATGAGCTCCATTGAGGAAGAAGTTCACAAGCTTCAATGGGCAACAATGTGGTGCTAATACCATTATGGATCTCTCAGAATGCCAAGCTCGTTGGAACGAAGGTTTCGGCAGCAGGGAATAGCCCAAACACCGACTTAATTCAGGTGGAAAAATCTTTTGGAGTCACACTTGTGAACTCTAAAATTGGGACTTGAGATGATCGCCGAGTTAACGAAATTTTGTGAAATTTTGCAGCATTGGGAGTCTTGGCTGGGATTTGAAAGAACCTGTAGTGCAAAATGTGACAATTAAAACAGTCGACATTATAGATGATTTAAGATTAGAGATTTATAAAATTTGGATCCACATCTATCCTTGTATTATAGTGTAACCGTGCTTTACCTTTTTGTTAATTTACTTTGTAAGAGATTGAAACTTAAACTCTAGTTTGAAAAGATATGTTGCAATAGACCGAT